CTCCTTTTTTTTCCCCTTGCTGCTTTTAATATGTTTTCTTTGTGTTTAATTTTTGATAGTTTGATTAATATGTATCTTGACGTGCTTCTCCTTGGATTTATCCTGTACTGGACTCTCTGCACTTCCTGGACTTGATTGACTGTTTCCTTTCCCATGTTAGGGAAGTTTTCCAGTATAATCTCTTCATATATTTTCTCAGACCAGACCCTTTCTTTTTCTCTTCTTCTTTTAGGACACCTATAATTCGAATGTTGGTGAATTTAATATTGTCCCAGAGGTCTCTGAGACTGTCCTCAATTCTTTTCATTCTTTTTTTTTTTTTTAATTAATTAATTTATTTATGGCTGTGTTGGGTCTTCGTTTCTGTGTGAGGGCTTTCTCTAGTTGTGGCAAGTGGGGACCACTCCTCATTGCGGTGCACGGGCCTCTCATTATTGTGGCCTCTCTTGTTGCGCAGCACAGGCTCCAGACACACAGGCTCAGCAGTTCTGGCTCACGGGCCTAGTTCCTCCATGGCATGTGGGATCTTCCCGGACCAGGGCTCGAACCCGTGTCCCCTGCATTAACAGGCAGATTCTCAACCACTGTGCCACCAGGGAAGCCCCTCTTTTCATTCTTTTTTTTATAATTTTTTTAAAATTATTTTTTAGTCTTCTCTGCAGTAGTTATTTCCAATATTTTATCTTCCAGGTCACTTATCTGTTCTTTTGCCTCAGTTATTCTGATGTTGATTCCTTCTAGAGAATTTTTAATTCCATTTATTGTGTTGTTCATCATTGTTTGTTTGCTCCTTAGTTCTTCTAGGTCCTTGTTAAACATTTCTTGTATTTTCTCCATTCTATTTCCAAGATTTTCAATCATCCTTAATATCATTATTCTGAATTCTTTTTTCAGGTAGACTGCCTATTTCCTCTTCATTTGTTTGGTCTGGTGGGTTTTTACCTTGCTTCTTCATCTGCTGCATATTTCTCTGTCTTCTCATTTTGTTTATTTACTGTATTTGGGCTCTCCTTTTTGCAAGCTGCAGGTTCGTAATTCCCATTGTTTTTGGTGTCTGCCCCCAGTGGGTGAAGTTGGTCCAGTGGCTTCTGTAGGCTTCCTGGTGGAGGGGGCTGGTTCCTCTGTTCTGGTGGGTAGGGCTAGATCTTGTAATTCTGGTGGTCAGGGCATCTGGTGGTGTGTTTTGGGATGTCTGTGAACCTAGTATGATTTTAGGTTGCCTCTCTGCTAATGGGTGGCATTGTGTTCCTGTTTTGCTAATTGTTTGGCATGGGGCTTCCAGCACTGGAGTTTGCTGGCCATTGTGTGGAGCTGGGTCTTAACTTTGAGGTGGTCATCTCTGGGAGAGCTCTCACTGATTGATATTACTTGGGGCCAGGAAGTCTCTGGTTGTCCAAAGTCCTGAACTCAGCTCTCCCACCTCAGAGTCTCTGGCCTGATAACAGGCCAGAGCACCAAGGCCCTGTCAGCCACATGGCTCAGAAGAAAAGGGAGAAAAAAAGAAGGAAAAAACTAATAATAAATTTAAAATAATTAAAAAACATTATTAATATAAAAATGTTTTAAATTAGTAAAATAAATATATCATAATAAAAAAAGAAGAGAGCTACCAAACCAATAAACAAGTCCACCAATGATAACAAGCACTAAAAAGTATACTATTATAAACATAAAAATCAGTAACAAATCAGTCACAGACAGCAAACCCCAAGTCTACAGTTGCTCCCAGAATCCACCACCTCAATTTTGGGATCATTCTTTGTCTATTCAGGTATTCCACAGACGCTGGATACATCATGTTGATTGTTGGGATTTAATCCGCTGCTCCTGAGGCTGCATGGAGAAATTTCCCTTTCTCTTTTTTGTTTGCACAGCTCCTGGAGTTCAGCTTTGGTTTTAGCCCCACCTCTGCCTGTAGGTTGCCCTCAGGCCTCTGTTCCAGCTCAGACAGGACGGGTTAAACAGCAGCTGATTAGGGAGTTCTGGGTCATTCATGCTGAGGGGAGGGAGGGGTAACTGTAGTTATAATTGGAATGTGGGGCTAGCCTGCAGCGGCAGAGGCTGATGTTACATTTCAACTGCCTGAGGCCTGCCATGTGTTCTCCCAGGGAAGTTGTCCCTGGATTATGGGACCCTGGCAGTGGCGAGCTGCACAGTCTCCTGGGGCATGGTGTGGATAGTGACCTGTGCCTGCACACAGGATTCTTGGTGGCTGCAACAGCAGCATTAGAATTTCACGCCCATCTCTAGTGTCCGAGCTGATAGCCACAGCTTATGCTTGTCTCTGGATCTTGTTTAGGCGGTGCTCTGCCTTCTGTGGGCAGAAGGGGAAGGAATCCCCTTTCCTCGCACACCCTGAAACAATGGTCTCTTGCCTCTTAGGCAAGTCCAGACTTTTTCCTGGACTCCCTCCCAGCTAGCTGTGGAACACTAGCCTCCTTCAGGCTGTGTTCACGCAGCCAACCCCAGTCCTCTCCCTGGGATCTGACCTCCAAAGCACAAGCCACAGCTGTCAGCCACCACCTGCCCCAGTGGGTGTGCAGACAACTGTCTCAGGCTGGTGAATGTTGGTCGGCACTGTTCCTCTGTGAGGGAATCTCTCTGCTTTGCCCTCTGCACCCCTGTTGCTGCACTCTCCTCCATGGCTCCAAAGCTTCCCCCTGCCCAACCCCTGTCTCCACCAGTGTAGGGCCTTCCTAGTGTGTGGAAATTTTTCCTGCTTCACAGCTCCCTCCCAGAGATGCAGGTCCCATCCCTATTCTTTTGTCTCTGTTTTTTCTTTTGCCCTACCCAGGTACATGGGGATTTTCTTGCCTTTTGGGAAGGCTGAGGTCTTTTGCCAGCATTCAGTAGGTGTTCTGTAGGATTTGTTCCACATGTAGCTGCATTTTTGATGTATTTGTGGGGAGAAAGGTGATCTCCACGTCTTACCCCTGCCATCTTGAAGATCTCTAAGGGTCTTTTTTCCATAGTGATTTTTGACAGGAGTAGGGACAGCTTATTTAATGAGTCAATGTTTTAAATTAGATATATTTACTTTTTGACCACCCTCCACCCCAAATATCCCAAACTACTTAAATGGCAAGATAATTTGCATATATAGGATATTTAATAACTATACATTTTTCCACAACTAGAATTAAAAATTTGTGAAGCAGGTAACACACCTTACACATTTTAGGTATATAATGTATTCCTAAACAGATGACACAGTATTTGTCGGAACATATTTGTTAGTTGATGCACACACACCTCACACACATACACCATAAAAAATGCATTTAATTGGCTTTTATTGTGCTTCATCCATAGAAAAAATAAATAGTTATCTAAATAGCTATATTCCCCCACCCCATATTTTATAGCCCCTATGCATTCAGTAGAGGTGATGTGGCTACTTTTGGTCAATGGGTTCTAAGCAGAAGGTCTTCATCTCTGAAGTCGGAATAAAGTATAAGATAGCAAGTGTGCTACTGCCACTTTTCACCTATTATAATGAAAAAGAAGGTCACATGGTCCATATGTAATTAACAGATGGTAGAGGCTCAATCAGCCTGGGTCTGTGAATGAATGTGTGGAGAGACTGTATCCTACCTTGACCAACCTTAGCTATCTGCCAAGAGATAGAAATAAAAATTGTTGTTTGTGTGTTAAATGACAAAAATACTGTGATTGATTTGTGATTGTGGTTTAACATAGGCTTCTTGACTAATACTCCTCAAGTCTCTATATTCAGACAAAATAGAACACATGATCTTGCCATAAAAATAGAATTTGTATAAATACATTTGTTTTTTTCCTTTTGGTTATATTTTATGGTATATTCTTTTATCTTTTAATTTTTTATCAGATAATTACAGCTTGGATTATACTTTCCTTCTGTTATAACTATGTTGTATTTTTTAAAACAATTTCATATATTCATTAAGGTTTTATTGAGTAATTAGGGTAAAGGTTTAATAGGAATGACACAAGCTGAATTATAACAATATTTGCCATGAAGTTGTTGTCCATTTAGTAGCAAAAAATAATAAAGAATACAAATAGCTATGACACAAGTTTGAATTTTGTTAATAGCATAACAGACTCCCTAGATAAAGAGTTCAATCACCAGGGTAGTTTTTAAAAGTAGCATGTAGCTAGCGTTAATAAGGAGCCCCATTATGTATAAATTTCAAACACTTTCCATCAAAGTCCCTAGGAATGTCCAGATATTACCTGCCCTGCTTCTGCCCTCCTTCTGACAATTCAATTTGATTATTCACCTGTTTTTAAAAGGCAGTGAGCATGAGAGCTTCAATGATGGAGGAAGATGGCAGAGGTATTTCCTATGACATAGAGCCAATCCTCAGCAAGCGTATGCAGGAGAACACGCAGAGAATAGATGCTCTGACTTGAATTGCTTCCTAGGGGCACAAGCTATGGACCCTGTGTGATATTCAAACATAAGCGCTTAGCTTGTTGAAGACAATGAGGGGCTGCTTTTCTTGCCAAATCCTCATCAAATTTTAATAGAGCCATCAGAAGTCAATAATTAAATTCTCAACCAAGAGGAACTTTTAATAGGGGATTTACAGCTTGTATGATCTTTCTTTTTGTAGATATGCAGTCTATAGTTCACAGATCAGACACATAGCGTTCACTAAAACATTGTAGACAATTGTCATCATTTACATGGTAAAGTCAAATCTCACCCAAAATTTAAGGCCATTATTTCTGGGGGTCTCCTATAGCATATTACTCTTCAAAAACTAAACAAAACTTTTTTTTTTTTTTTTTTGTGGTATGCGGGCCTCTCACTGTTGTGGCCTCTCCCGTTGTGGCACACAGGCTCTGGACGCGCAGGCTCAGCGGCCATGGCTCACGGGCCCAGCCGCTCCGCGGCAAGTGGGATCTTTCTGGACCAGGACACGAACCTGTGTCCCCTGCATCAGCAGGCAGACTCTCAACCACTGCGCCACCAGGGAAGCCCTAAGCAAAACTTTAATTTCCCCCCAACTTAAATACCATAGTTCTTCATGAATTTGCATGTCATCCTTGCACAGGGGCCATGCTAATCTTCTCTGTGTCATTCCAATTTTAGTATATGAGCTGCTGAAGCGAGCACAAAATACCATAGTTCTGAAAGGGATATAGAATTGACCAGAGGTGAGAGTGATGAACTCTAGGACCACGTCCTGGGAATGACTTCTTTAGGCTCTGCAGGATGGCCTGGAAGACTCAAATAAAAATCCATATTGACAAATACTACAATCCAACCTCAAATAAAAATCCAAACTGACAAATAAAATAGAAATCAATATTGACTCAAATAAAATAAAAAATAAAATAAAACTCCATATTGACAAATAAAATTAAAATCCATACTGACAAATACTACAATCCACCCTCTACTGAGGAAGATGAACAGATTTAAGGCAGGAAGATGGAGGAAAAGAGGCTGAGAAAACTATCAACACAGAGATGAGATGTAAAGAACTAACCTGTGATTCAAAGATTTTAAACAACAAAAGCACAGAAATGTTTTTTCTTTAACTTTTTATTTGATATTGGAGTATGGTTGATTAACAATGTTGTGTTAGTTTCAGGTGTACAACAAAGTGATTCAGTTATACATATACATGTATCCTTTTTCAAATTCTTTTGGAAATGCTTTTTCTTTAAACAGAATAATTATGTTGATATGACATAACCTAATTGAAGCTGAGAGCTGCCCCATCTTACTCCACTTTCTAATTTCCATAATCTTTACCAACAAATAGTTGGCTCCACTAAAAGATGAGTGATAAACAGGAAAGACACAAGTCATGATCCTACATTACAAAAGAGTAAACACAGAAAGCAAAAGCATATGAAGACACTACATTCTGAGAGCACTTACCTAAAAAATTAAATAACATTTATAATAAACATAGCTTCAAGAGATCTTAATAATAAAAGAAGCTCAAAGATTAGGTGAATATGATTGAAGAATAGATTATAAAAATGTGAAAAAGATGAAGGAATCTAGCAGAAAACAATAGAGCAGAAAAGGATAACAGAAATAAACACCATATTAGAAGCAAGGGACATATAAACAAATGCAACTCAAAATCTCAGAGTGATTATGAGTGATTATCTCATAATAGATAATAAAAAATTGAAAATGTAAAATGATTAATGGCTCATTTTTGAGAAGATAAGTGATTTGGAATATGCAATACTATAAAGAAGAATAACATAAGCAAAATCGTGGCTTCTGACAAAGAACTAAATAGGGCATGAGGATTTAGGCATAACGGAAAAAATTGACCTGAAATAAATATTTTTTACAAGTTACAATTCAGTAATATCTACATAGTTCTCAAAAAACATAAAGCACTAAGTAATTGTACGCAAGGCTAAATTATCTTCAAGTACAAAGGCAACACACAAAAATTTTTATATATGCCAGAACCTCAGGAACAAAACATATTTGAGGTCCTTAGCAAAGTACAGCCAAATATTCAGCCAAATTATTGCCAAAACCTGGAAGGCAGAAGTAAGGTGTGAGCATTACATCTCTTTAAAAAAAGTGAACAAAGAAACCTACTAAACTATTTCACAGTGTTTATGAAACATGAATATTATAACCTTATCATTGTAAAAAGAATAACTCAATTAACAAAATAATGGAACTTGGCAGGAACTCCCAGCATGGTAGCTTCATCCTTTTTCACAAAGGAGAGTCAGTAGAGTATTAAGGAGCTTAAATTATTAAAATGATATCTCTAAAATTTAAATTATTCTTAACATATTTCTTAAGTTCAGCATCATGTTTTATAAACTTAGTTTGTAAAAATATGATCTGATTTTCAGTTATTTCTTCCCTATCACTTCTATTTGTTTTATTAACTCTTTAAAGAAATTAAATTTAATACATAATAGATTCAAATGACATTGATAGTATAAATCCAGTTTTATCTGGCTATCTTTTAATGTCAGTTAAACAAGATTTCATCTGAAAATAACAGAAAACCTGACTTCTGTTATAAACATATAAATAAGGTTTATTTCTCACATATAATAAAAAATTGGGAGATAGGCAGCTGCTGGACCAATGACTCAATAATGTCTTTGCCAAAGTTTGTGCAATTATTTTCTCCTTATCCTCATGGTAACAACATGTCTGTGTATTCCAAGAAAGAAGACGGAAGCAGACAAGGGGTAGAGAATGTCATCAGACTTGTACTTACATTTCACTGACCACACCTGACTTCAGGGGAGCCTGGGCAAGTGACTCATATAGACTTTCTAATGTCATTTAGAGTAGGTAAGGATAAAAGAGGCTGAGTGATCTAAGCTATGTGTCTACCACATGTTCCCTCTACGTAATCATAGAAGAGTTTCAGAAATAAAGTGTAACAATATTTTACCACAGATAATATATAGATTTTTTTAAATCTGAAATTTTATATTTTAAAAACGAAAAGAGGTATTATCAAAGGTATATCTATCTCTATCTACCCACATAGTTGAACACAATGAAAACATTCATTAATACATAATATAATTTTGCATAGATTCAGATCACATGGGTTAACCTGAGTAATGAAAAAAAAACATATAACATAAAAATAACAAGACTGATATGCCAAACATACTAAATCATGTGATAATTTTTTAAATGTTTATTTAACAGAAATATTTCCTAAGTTCCAATACCATGCTCAAAAACATTTTCCTGAAGAATTTGTAGTCATTGAAGTAATAACATTCTCTGCATCTAAGAGGAAATGACACAACATCTGTTGTGAAGTTCCAGCAATGTTATCTGTTATACCTTTGTTTTACAAACTTCTTTCAGCATGTCCATCTACACCTCCTGCTAGTCATAAATTGTCTTGGTTCAATGACATTTATAGTATTCTTACAACAAGAAATAGTTTTTGATAGAGTCATTTTTCAATCATTCTCTTACAAACAACACTGCTCTCCATGTTGTGTGGCTCAAACCAACAGTGACTGGTCATCTGCAGCCTGGCAAGTAACACACAGTCACAGTCTACACAATAAAGCAAATCCTCCTTCAGTTAGTATACTGACACTGCTTTAGAAATGGTAGATTAAAAGATTTTTTTCTTAAAGTATTTCTACATTCTGCTTCCTTTCATTGGACTTTTGGATAAATTATTTTTACTATGATTAAGAGCTTATATAGATTTAATTGAATTTTGCAACTATATATTTTAAACAAGATAAAATGAAATAGACACAATCATAGTCCTTAAATATTAAAAATGTTTGGTTAAATTATTAAAACATAATTTTAATAGTTGAGATGATTCGAGTATAGGCACTGTAATGATCAAGTGAGTGAGCAGAAGACTGAGACAAAGAACTCAGTGCAAGTGGTCAAAGCAAGTGAAAATATGAGAGAATTTAATAAGTCCAGGTGCCCTAAAATAAATTGTTGATTGAATCGACAAAGGGAAAATAGGAAAATGAAAAATAGAAGAAAATTTCTGAAAGTTACAGAAAGACAAGTATTTCCAGATAGAAAGCCTGGAGGAGGTGAGGGTGGTTGGTATATTAAGAAAGAAAGAAATATATATATAGTAAAAGTGTATCAGAACTTACAGGAAAAAGAGGAATTCATAAGAATTTTACAATGAGAGAATCAAATTATCCTCAGTATGAAGAGATTTACATAGTGCTCAGACGTTTTCTGATCAAAAGACTAGAATGATGTTTGTAAAGGTCAGAGGAAATTATATACAGTCATCCCTCAGTATCAATGGGGGTTGGGTTTCTAGAGTCCCCGCGAATACGGAAATCTGAGGCTGCTCAAGTCTCTTAACATAAAATAGCTTATACAACGAATACAGTCATCTCTTCCTATCCACAGGCTTCATCATGGGTTTCACATCCTCAGATTCAACCTATGGTTTTGACGGAGAATCTGGTGGTTCTCTACCTTCTTAGTCCCAGAGGCATGTGTGAAATTCAGCTCTCCCCTTGAGATGTTTTTAAGTCTGTGTCTTCTCTGCATCCCATATTTTTCAAACCTTGGCAAATGTTTTGAGGGGAAACTGGCCACGTTTTTGAAACAGGCTTCTACACTCATCAGAACTTGGTCTCACAAGTTATTAGGAGACTGTGTTTTATTTTAATTTTCCATTTAGAAGTTTTAACTCAGAGCCCTGGCGTCCATCGTAGTTCCAGAATTCTGAATATTACATAAGCAAACAGCCTTTTGGGGCTTCTCTAGTTTTCATCCTGTCACTCAAGAGTTTACCACTTCTCAACTACTAAGACTTGGCTGGTTTCTGTTCCCTCTTAGAGTCTTGCTGGGTCAGGCCAGATACCCAGTCTTCCTATAAGCATCTGGATATAAGAAAGTAGTGGCTGACTATTTTTACTCATAATAGGTGGATTTTCTCTTATTTCAAACTATTTAAAGACAGTTTACCATATTCTTCTTGTTTCCATTAGTACTCTATGCCTTTAAAAATAGAATTTTCCTAGATGTTGCAGAGGGACAATTAGCCTACTGTACTACATTTTACCAGAAGCAGAAGTCCTCTCTTCAGTATGTGTTAATAAATACTTTTATAGTCCAATTTATTTTAATGAAAAACATTTTTATTTTTATCTCTGAGCTTTATATTTGCAATATTGTCTTGTCCTTTTGTATTTTTATTATCAAAATATTTACTCTGTAAATGAGGGGGTGATGCTTTATCATTTCATAGTTATGGGTAAAATTGACACAATTTACCCTTTTAAATGAAGATACATCATTTCTTTCAAAAACATTTGAATCCAAATATTTTTACTCTCAAATTTAAACGTCATCAAGCTTGGACCAGTTATAAAAATTCTCTCAAAGTTATAGGAAAATTCTTTGCCTTTGTGCAAGCCTATATAAATGTAAACCAAATGCTGTGATACTTTGATAAGAAGATATGTAAAATTAACTTAAATTCAACAGTTCATAGAATATAAATATTGGTTAAACTTTGTGTGACTAATGAGATATAATGACTAGTTGAACTCTATTAAACCGTGTCAACAGTTTCCCATCTTTCAAGATTCCTTATTATTAGTTGACGCATCTATAATTCTAAGACTGCTCAAAAGAATATA